AAAGTCCCATTACCAGTTTTTAATTCGAATGATCGGACTTTACCATCACGTCCAGGAATAATTTTTATGATTCTACCAAGTTTCCATAAGAGTTTGTTTTTATTATCTCCTTCGACTAAAAACACATCTCCTACTTTTAGTTCTGGTTGAAGTTGCGGATTCTTCAAGAAATGGGCAGTTCTAAGATCTAATAAATATTGTTGCTTCCATTTCCCACCACAATTGTTTTAACAGCAATTCTTGATAACGCTTTCTTTTTAACAGCGTTTCTCTTGTCGTTTCGCTACCGATGATTCTAGCAAAGGTCAAGGATACTTCAAATCAGTTTGTCCAATGTTTAAGAAGTGCATTGGAGTCAACGGTTGCGGCTCGTCATTGTCGTTGTAAACGTAACTTAGAGGTCGTGAATTAAGAACTGACTCCACTTCGACAAGTAGTGTAGACATTTCTTCGAAAGTCAACAATGCTTTTCCTACGATTTTTCTTAAACATTCTTTAACAGATCTAACAAGTCTCTCATAAAACCCTCCCCACCATGGGGCTCGTTCGATTATAAATTTCCAATGGATTCTTTCTTTGGCAATGAAATTCTTGAATTTGTCATCTTTTAAAACTTTTGAAAAATTCTCAAGTTCTTTCTTTGTCCTCTTAAAAGTTCTTGGCGTTGTCAGAGTAGATGATTACGCAGTTTCCTCTTCTGCCTCAAAAATCTGCGAAATGCAAGTAAAAAGGATTTCTGTTGACATATCTGATACAAGTTCTAAGTGTACAGCTCGGGTTTACTGCACAAACGAACAAAACAATATAGGATTTTCGAGTGTCTTTAGAATTCTTTACGTAAACTGGTCCGGCGAAATCAATTCCACAGACTGCAAATGGAGGTGATTCTTGGATTCTTATCCTTTGGTAAGGGGTCTGTCATCTGGTCTGCTGGTTTAGCTAAATATTTTTGGCAGATTATACAACCTTTTAATGCTTTTTTGACTAACTGGTCGTCCTTTAGGAATCCAGAAAGCGTGATCTGACTTTAGCTAAAGTTGCAGCAATTCCCTCCATGCATTATCTTCTCATGTTCTTTGCATACAATTCAGAATCGTTAGTCGGAGAATTTTTAGGTAAGATTATTGGATGTTTATTATCTAGTGAGAAGTCAGAAAATTCCAGTCTTCCTCTCAACCTCATGATTTCCTTTTCATCAATGTAAGGAAGAAAATTATACAAAGGAGAACTTTTTTAAACTGAATTACCTTCTTTGAGGGATTCATATTCTTCGGCAAAAAACTTCTTTTGCTCTGATCTTATCCAGAAATTTTCTGCTTCTTGTAACTCTTCAGCTGTGAGAGTTCCTTGAATGTCGCTAGTTTTTCTTAATTTTCTAATGAAACGTGTTGTCCAAGCAGTGACTCTTAACACCTTCTCTAATTTGCTATATTTTGGAAAAACCAAGCCGCATGAACTTGTAAATAAGCCCCTCATGCCAAGTCCTGTCAAAGACCTTGGCATGAGAGCCTTTTTCCACCCTGTCTGCAACTTTCTTAGCTTCCGTGTTCCAATTTAATCTGTATTTGTGAATTATAATTTATTTTTGTTATTGTGTACATTAAATATAATGTTTTATTTATGCTCTTATTATTTTAAATTTTCCCCGCAAGAATTTATTTCGAAAGTTTGAAGACAAATTCATGCCCTTGAAAGTGAAGCACCTTCCTAGTATAGTATTAAATGGTTCGAAGGAAGAAGAGCAGAATATCATTGACGAATTTAATATTAGATTATTGACGAATTTATTATTATTTATTGACGAAGTGTTTATAAAGCAGTCCACCCTAATCCTGTATGATTTATTAGCGCTAGAAAATTTCATTTATCCAGATTTTAAATTATACTTTATCGTCTCATTAAATTATAGTTTATCGTCTCATTAAATCCTTGGGAATTGCCCGAATAGCCCTTCATCTAGAACCGCTTTCAAGAACGTGAAATTTTGAGATCCAAAATTTGAAGTTCGTAAAAGCGGTACCAAGCAATTTCCAATCTAAATCCTCATGTTATTAATGACGCATCCTGATTTTCCATTTATCTATATAATTTTTTGTAGTCATGTGTTAAACTTTGACCTTTTCCTTGAGCGGCTGAGCCGCAAAATCGCCGAATACTGGTTAGTTCAAACGGGCTGCCATGAGAGTTTTCATGTTTTTTCCCTCATGTGTAACCTGGATATGAAAAAGTTTTTCATAAAACGACCTGAACGAAGACATTCCATCCATGTAGGCAGATAGCCCGTGCGTTATTTTGCCTTAATCAGTTAATCTGACCTATGATTCGAGTCATCAAAATGCCATCTTCATAGTTGATTGAAAAAAAAAAAGGGACTTTAGGATATATCGTCATGTAATGATAACGTTTAACAGTGTCTTTTTCCACTTTTGCATGACTATTTACAGCTCCTCTGTATTTTCTTTGATATGCCATCATTTTAAAAAGCATTTTCTAGCTATTTATGTGCAAAATTTTGTCTATTTTGTATTGAACCTTCTGGTTGACAACTTATTTTTGGCAGCAGAGCTTTTTCAAACTGAATATTTATTGCATCTTGTGTCATTTTCGGTACATTTCTTTAAGTGTTCAGAGGTGTTAAGCACTGTTTTAATATGACAAAGCCATGAGAGCTATCAGCTTAAGAGGAGGGATGCCTTCGTGGAGGATTTTTAAAAGAACCTGACTCGTATTCACGTTTAGGAGAAAGCAACCATGCAGCCAGTTCGTTCGGCTGGCTTCGAACCCAAACCAGGTCGGGCCACCAGTACTCAATTAACCATTAACCACTTGACCACCGATGAGGCCCTAAGCGTGACTTGTCAAAATAGCTCTAGCCATATAGCCCCGACAGACTGTGCACGAACTGTGCAATTCTGGTCCATTTTTGAGGGAGAACACCCATCTCTCTTCCCTTGCCTCCAATATCTCGAAAGGACTTTCGGCTGACCATGTACTTTAAGTGCTCCTTTGCCTTTACAGATAATATACGGCTTAAAATGTTTTGAGAAAACAATACATACCTCATGCGACTTTTTAAAATCTCGTCGTTTCACGTGCGTCAGACAGCGAAGGGTTGCTGCAGCGTAATCGCGGGTGTGCGTTGCATTGTATGCTGTTTGTGTTTCTTCCCTTTGTTGGTATTAATTATACTAAAATATATCAGGGGTGTGTACTTAAGGAATGCCTTTGTCGACGACTTTCTTAGGGAAAATTGGGGTGCATCCATGCTACATAACGTGGGAGGGTAGATCACGAAAACACCCATACATCCAGCCCCTTAACCATGATTGGAATCCTGGTAGAAATAACAGTGCTCTTTAGTTTTAAGTATTTGGCCACTAATGTCTTGCATGTTGTGTCTCATAATAAGTTCTCGAATTACCAACCGCTTAAATGTATCAGTAAGCGACGTTATATTTTGGAGTCTGAAATGGAACGCATTCTAAGAACCTTGGTATCGTTCGAATTTTGTCTAATGCTAACTCAATACGCGCAGTGAATTCCAGTGTATTTGTTAGAGACTCCTTCTGAAGAATTGATTCCGCAGTTCACTCATTATTTAGGTTAAGCAAAGCTTTTGAGGGCTGTGTTTCAAAAGGGAGGGAGGTCTTCGCAGAGGACATTGCTATCTGCCTGAAGGATGCCTTCACGGAAGACTTAAGAAGAACTGGCTCGTATCCCTGTAACACATGGGTAAAACCACAAAAACGTCTATGCAGCCAAAGCTTGTTTACCTGAAACTGAACCATGTTTTGAACTCCCAATGTTCAGCGACTTTACCGTTCCGCCAGTGCTAGGTATTCGCGAGATTTGAAGTTGGGTCTAATTACTAGTTTTCGCAACCGCGAATTTACAGAGAATAAAAACCAATTTTAATTGCATGGTAATTCAACAAAATTTTTACTTCTTTAGCTACTCAATATTTCTTTTACAGAAAATATTTTTGTCTTATCTTTTGCGCTTAATGAATTGCATTTTTACTAAAGTAATTTAACGAATATTTTTTTACCCCTATATTACTATAATAGCTCATGCGATATTTTTACCTTTCTGATGGGGTTCACACATAAGTATTTCCGAAAAGTGGCAAAACGTTCTGCATCTTTACTGTTGGAATATGAGCATACGTTAACAGCAAATCCCCCCCCCCCGCCGCCCGTTTCAGTACATTAAAAGTCTTAGATAAGTTGGCCTCTTAATGATCTCGATATTCGTTTCATTTAAACCCGAAGAAATATAAGGCAGAATAGCATACGATAATTATAATGAGAGTTCCACGAGCTTTATGAAATGTTTTGCAGCAGTGTGAAATTTTAACTGAGAAATTCGGAAAATTCAGGTTATTAGGTGTTTAAGTGGATGGTACATAAAAAAATCCATCGCATTAGGGAAAATGCATGAGATTTATCCATAACGTGTCTGATTGTATTCTAGAGAAGAAAACCGTTTGCGGAAAGCAAAACAAACAATTTTAGCAAACCACGTGCCTGCGAAAGCTTGGCGCGTCATGCGCCAGAGGTGATTGACTTCCGCCGTCTGTTCGCTTACCTTTTATCGCAATTTTCTTTTTTAAATACATTTAAACGTTTGTTTGCTTATCGTCTTTGCTAACTTTCTTGTAATTTTGCACCTTTCTTTCTTTCTTTTTTTTTTTTTTTTCCTTCTTGGAAGATGGCTACGATATTCGCCTTCTTTAATTATAAACAATATAAATTCATTTGCCAGCTCTACTGTGGCACTTCTCAGTGTTTGATTGAAATTATAATTCAAGTCCGAGTGCAAATTAAGTGAGCTCTAGTAATTTTGTTTATTATTTCATTAATTGTCATTTAATTTTTTTAAAATCTCTTAACATATAATTTTATCATTATTTATAAATTTATTTATTTTTATTTAACTTCTGTAGATCTCCTCGGTAGGTCTCCTAAACTTTAGAAATTAAGTGATGAGTATAAAACAAAATAACAATGTAAAACATGGATTATATTCAAAGTCAGCAGACAAACAAGGTAGTGCTTTTCCAAAGCTCGAGTTTGTATCATTTGTAAAACATAAGTAGTATTTAATAAAATAGAGAATATACTTTATACCATAAGCCAACAAGAATTTCAGTTTCCTCAGTCCCTTCATATTAGGATTTTTCTTGATGTTATTAACTATGTATGGGTAAAATCATCTTACATTTATCAGATTTTTCTTCTAATGTACATTTATTTATCAGATCTTCATTGACAATGAGTGGCATGATTCTGTCAGTGGTAAAACTTTTCCAGCCATTAACCCTTATACTGGAAAAAAAATTTGTGATGTTCAAGAAGCTGATAAAGTAAGTCTGTATTAATTTTTGAATTTGCATGTTGAAATGTTGTTTCACTTTAACTAGAAGTTAGAAGATCCTCTACAAACAGTATAAGCTTGACTCCGATAGCCTTTTTTCCTTATTTGCATTGATGCATTTAGTTGTGTCATCTTTACCTGTATTAATTAGACATATGATTTCTTGATATAAAACTTCTTGTGATGTTTCTTTTAAGTAAGCAATTTTTCTAGCAGTGACTGCTTAAAGCAGACATAGGATTTCTAAAGTTGTCTCTAAACATTTAATGAAATAATTTATATCATATAATTATGAATTGAGCTCATCTAAAAAGATCTAATAATTTTATATTTAATATAAAAAATTATCAAATTATCTAAAGTACCATGGAAAATATGACTGCAATAGAATGCCAAAAGCTGTCTTTAACTAATGATGAGAAACTTGATAATCTTTGGCCAGGTCCTGCCATCAAAAACCTACCACACAAGGTCATTGCAGGTTTTTTTTTTTTTTTTTTTTTTTTTTTTTTTTTGTCACCTTGGGCAATCTCTATTGCATCTGAAGTCTGCCTTCCTAAATTTTAAAATTTTATCTCACCTCAATTATGCCGTAAAGTGCCTTTTGCACTGGTTGTATTGATTCTGCTGCCATGTAATTAACATTAAAAGCAATGAAATGTATTTTCGTATATTTTATTTTTACAAAATTGATTATTTCAGAAATGAACATTATAGGGAAAAAAAAATGCAAAGCAGAAATTTTAATTTTATAAGGCTGTTGAAGTAAAATTTTGATTTAAAAGCTGGGCAGTAGCTGTAGAAGTCTTGAAAGAAGCCTTTTAAATTTAAATATGCGGTAAAATCTGTTGCAGTGAGTATCCTTGGATAACAGTATTGAAAGAGATAAGTATTTCTGAGGATTATGAATAAAGATCAAAATTGAACATCATCAATACTTATATTTTCTAAGGAAATGAATATCATCTGAAGCTTTGTATGGTCTAGAAGAAAGTCTAGAGAAGTTTAATTTCTTTTTATTTTTTATATTACAGGAAAAGTTCCAAACCTATATTACTGTCTTTCTCACTTAAATGAGAGGAAGCTGCATCAATCTTGTCAGATGTAAATTTTTGTCTTTTCAAAAGTTATAGTGAAAATTTATGTAAATCCTCAGGATTGTAGTTTGGCATTAGTTCATGATAAATTTAGGCCCACCAGCGGCCGAGCGGTAAAGACGCTGAACACTGGTAGTTCGGTCTGAGGTTCGAATCCCGCGAACGGGCTGGCTGCATGGGCGTTTTCGTGGTTTTCCCCATGTGTAACGTGTATACGAGCCAGTTTCCCTTAGAAAGTCCTCCACGAAAGGCATCCCTCCCTTTATGCAGATAGCCCTCGTGTGCTTTGCCATAATTAAATACACCACCACACCATCATGATAAATTTACACAAAGAATTGAAAAGATTTATAAGCATGATCTCTCTTGCTTATTTTTACTTAAGAATAAATTGAGAATATGTAAGGGTCAGATGAAAGCCTAAAAGCTAACATATTTTCTTTGAGGCAAATCAAGCAAGAAAATTATGAGATTTCTGAAATTTGGTTTTGAAAAAGCCAGTCCAGTTGCTGAGTTTAATCAGCAACTTTTGTATTTATTTGATACTGATTCATTTTTATATCTGATTACTGCCGTAATTTTCTCTAAACTTTATTCAACTATGTGGGCTGTTGTTTATTGCTACAGATGGCTAAATGGTAGCTTGAAGTTTTCATGACTTTCCACATGCAATATACTTATGTAAATACAAGCTTAAAGGACCCTTAAAAATGTCCTGCATGAAGGAATTCCTTTGTTTAAACAGACAGCCATCATCTGCTTTGCCTTGATGGATTAACTAACCATTCCTATTTGGAGAACATCCCAGAAATAACCATTTTTAAAAGTCTTCTGACATTTCCATGCAGCTTATCAGTCTAGTTTTAAGAAAAGTCTTTCAACAAACATGTATAAGTAGACAAAATTGCTGTTTTCTTAGGGTAGTTTTTAGAAAGTGGTAAAATGATGTTTAGAATTTGCAGATACCAGTTCTTCACCTTCGTTATAGTATATACGGCCAAAATTTTTAAGTGTGTCTGACCTTTCCAGTCTACCTACAAGGTTATAAATTTGAACTTTCATTAATAATTCCTTTCTTTCTAGATGACATAATTTTAAGCATGGAAAATACCTCTCTGTGACTATCTTAGGCAATGCTGAACCTATACTATGACTACTATAATCATAGTATAGGTTCAGCATTGCTAAAGAATTTACATTTGTAATGTAAATCACTAAAGAATTTACATTTGAATACTGATTATTTGCCTGCTGTGCAAGTTACATTGCATTAGCAGTAAAATATTTAAACTCTTAACTATGCAAGACTACAAGGCAATCTAACTAAAGTAAAACATTGATATTTGAAGTAGTAAAACATCTTGAATTTTCATGCAGGTTTTGATTTCTGTAGAATATTTATTTCTTGGAAAAGGTCAGCTCATATTCTTAATGTCTTAAGAGCTATTATTTACAGCAATTTTTAAAGATATTAAAAATTTTTGAAGACCTCTGAGTTATGCAAAAAATCTAAAATGCAGTGCATTCTGATGTAATAGCTTTTTTAAGTAGTAAATTTTCCTTTTCTAATTTAAACATTAGTGATGTAATTTAATGATTTTAATTCCCTAGGCTGATGTGGACATAGCTGTCAAGGCTGCAAAAAAGGCCTTTAAGTTAGGTTCACCATGGAGAACCATGGATGCTTCAGAAAGGGGACGACTTCTTTTCAGATTTGCAGACCTCATTGAAAGGGACATTGATTACATTGCGGTGGGTATCTTCATATACTTTTCTCAGATTCATAAATCCAATAATCAACATACATTTAATGAAATTAGATTTTATAAGACAGTGTTAGTAGGAATAAAATTTAATTTTTAATTATCATGCTAAGTAGTGACATGCACCGTGCAAGCAATTCAAAGCAATATTAAAAAATGGGTGATGCTGAAAGATAACAACAAAATAAGCCCAAGGAAACTATGCAGCATGTTGCTATTGAACAAAATATAATAAAACCTACCATTTTATAATGCTGTTCCCGATTCCAAAGTTAGTACAGTTTCATGCTTTTCATTAATAAATAAATAAATAATAAATAAATAAAATAAAAGATTTCTTTCTTATGGAAATTATCTTTTAGAGAATCAGCTACCATTATTCACTGTTGAAATCTTTTCCATTGCATCTTTTTGTGGCGTTCTGACAGATACTTCAACTTCTATTCATGAGATGGCGCCACGTGTAAAATCCAGTTCTTAATCGGAGCAGCAAAGCGACATCTTTACTCACTCAGACTTCTCGTGGGACAACTGTACGCGAAGGTAGCATGGACTGTGTTCCAAGCTCTGTGTTGATCTCTGCAATGTAATTTAAATTGTAATTTAGTATTTAATATATTCTTTTGTTATAGGAGATTGTCTATTCTTATTTTCTTTAATTATATCATGCATTAAGCACACACGACCACCAAAAGTTGTCGGAACGCCACATTTTTTTAGCTATAATAGCATATTGAGTTGCACACTGAAGGTGCACACTTAACAACAGCTTAATTTATTTACAGCACGTGTGGGCAGTATCATCCTCATCTAAATTTCAATAGATTTCATTTTTTTCAATACTATATTCAGATACATCTCTACAGTTTTCAGATTTCTTGAAAAAATATCTTGGTTCAGAGATATAAATCTGTTAAGATTATTTTCATCATATAGATTTGAAAGATGATCGCACATGGAATTTTGTTTCACAATTAAAAAAAAAAAAAAAAAAAAAATCTTTGATCACATTACTGCCCATTCTAACCACAGTAACTGATCTCCAATGCCAATCCTTAATGGCATCAAAATCTTTTCCATTGTATCTTTTTTTAGCTATAATAGCATATTGAGTTGCACACTGAAGGTGCACACTTAACAACAGCTTAATTTATCTACAGCATGTGTGGGCAATATCATCCTCATCTAAATTCCAATAGATTTAATTTTTTTCAATATATTCAGATACATCTCTGCAGTTTTCAGATTTCTTGAAAAAATATCTTGGTTCAGAGATATGAATCTGTTAAGATTATTTTCATCATATAGATTTGAAAGTTGATTGCATGTATAATTTTCTGTTTCACAATTTAAAAAAAAATTTTTTTTATCGTATTACTGCCCATTCTAACCACAGTGACTGATCTCCAATGCCAATCCTTAATGGCATCAGTATTCTCTTGCATACATCATAAATATACCATCTTCAAATTAATTTCTGAGAATAAACTTCCACTTATTATAATCAATTTGTCTGCGGAGTTTGCCCAATTGTCTGAACAGTAGTGGCAGTAATGGTCCTTTCTCTGAGGTGAATTTGCAATAGAGTACAACATACAAAAGTAAAGCGAAAAGTAATTTTTCCTCTATGTTTGTTATTGCTGAAAAAATTATTGGGCAAACTAGCCTCATAATCAATTCTAATTAAGTTTTAGTAAAACAAGTTCAAGCAGGAATAAAACTAATAATTAATTTAAATCATCATGCTGAGAAATGGAATGTATTATGCAAACAAATTAAAACAGGGAAACATAACAGGGGATGTCAAAATGCAACAGAATGAGATCTTGAAAACTGTTCTATATTCCTATTTACGAAACACAGCAAAATATGCAATCATATTCTAACATTGGTAAAATTTTACCTTTTCTTCATAGGCGATCAAGTTATATAAGAAGTACTAGACATTAAATGGTTGATTCATTATTAATACAAGAAAAGATTCCTAGGCTGTTTGAGAAAAGCATTACAAGTTTAAAATAATAATAATAATAAAAGTAATAAAAATAAAAATAATAATAATAATAATGCAGTGAAAAATTTCAAAACATTGCTGTAGGGGAAAAAACAAATACTAAACATCTCTTAAAAATATTGCTATAAAAACATTAAGTGGAAAATTTTGCTGTTTGAATTATGATGTTTTACAATATTTTGAAATTGTGTGTTGACATTTTTCTTTTTCTCCAACAAGGAATTTGTTTACTGTTATTTATTTTTGTGATGATATTTATGCTGTGATGCTTTCTTCCTGCATTCTCCAAGATGTTTTCATTGAGTACCATTTCATGTACCAAAATTCTTGACATTGACATTATGTCTGGAAAATTATGTGCATCCAAATACTACATAAATCTTTATGTAATCAATTTGAGTTTGAAACTTTTTTAAGCTGTTTTCTGTTTATCTTAAAGAAAAAAAAAAAAAAAAAAAAAAAGAGATAGATTATCAAATATGAAAAAGCATTTATTCTATCTTAAAACTGCATAAAAATAGCTTAGTCCTGTAAATGGCATGTTTGATAAAGTTGCTGTTCTGTAATTTTGCTGAATATAATTAATCAAACATTTGTACGTTTTCAAAATTCTAATAATTTATGATGGTTCTTTTTAGAGTTTGGAAGTTTTAGACAATGGTAAACCTTTCTCTGAAGCCATGTTTGATATGGAATACTCTATAGCAACATTGCGTTATTATGCTGGGTATGCTGATAAATTCCATGGAAAAACCATTCCATCTGGTAAAATATCCAATGCTTTATCTTGAATTCTATACTTAATCCGTTGTTAATTCAATGTAATATTAGGTTAATTGAGAAGATAACAGACTATTCAGCGGAGCGAATTATACTGTGATGTACATTATTTTGTACAAAGTATTTTTTAAAATTTGTATTTGATTTGGAAACATTGTAAGAAGAATGATTATTTCCTCTTGCAGATCTTCAAAATTTTTACATGTTTTAAAAATTAGAATCATTTAATAAACTGCACCACTGAAGGTGAATTGGCTGCATGAAAGTTTAGGAGTGTTGTTCCTAGATTTTCTTTTTGTATGCCTATTTTTTAACATGCTTATGTGAGCATGAAACAGTTCTTTTAGATTAGAAAATCTGTCACAGAAATCTTCTTTCATTTTCTTTTTTAGTTTTATTTTCACTCAAACAATGACACAAGTAAATATTGGTCATCTTTTCTTCTTTCAATTAAAATATGTGAAGTGGAACATTAATTAAAAATATCTGATGACCTGATTAAAAATCTCTGATAATAATTAACAATATCTTATCACCGCATGTGACTTTCTTGTGCAACCTACTAAATTATACACATTTTCTGCTGTATTTCATTTAAACTTTATTTCCTCGAATTTCATTACAGATACATTTCTCATTCAATTAATTCAGTTCTCACTTTGTGGCAAAGCAAAAATACATAAAAACTCAAAGCATCTTCATTAAAAATTGTAAAATACAGAAAAACCATAACACCAAATACAGTTAAAAAATGAATTTTACAGTTAAAATTATTTCTGTTACAAAACAAGCAATTAGTCGAACCTCTAGGAAGACAAAATTTTTAGTGCACAAAATTGAAAGTGAACTTTGTCTCACTGGGCAAAGTTACACTGAAATTGATGCACCATTTTCCTTAATTCCCTGTTCTACTACGAGTTTCAGATGTAAACAAATGGCGGCCTCGTTAAGGCCCATTTCCACTACTGCGTACGAACACGTTGCCCCAATTGAAGACACGCCTACGGCATCCGTACCAGCATTTCCAATGTCGCGTATCCGTAGATTATTTTCATTTTATCATTCGCTAGATGTCACTGTAATATTTTGGCGCCAAACAACCAGTTCGCAAGTTACAACTCTGAACATCTGAATTTCCCCCGCTTAAGCGAGCATTGTTTGTTTTGGATTTGATATGGATCCTGACATAAAACACAGAAAAGTTTCGTTTACTAAATTCCATGTTATTGGAAATTTTTATTTCTGCTTATAAACTGTGAAAGTAAAGTACCCTAGTAATTTTTAGATAAGTAAGGTTATAATGCATATTATGAACATCACTAGTTGCATAGAAGCTGAAGTAAATTTTAAAAATTTCTTTGTGTTTCTAGAAGCCTTAAATATTAATGAAATAATATATATATTATTAAAACTAAAATGTACTGTTACTGAAAAAATAAGCAAATAAATAAATAAAATAAAAATGTTAAACAAATCAAAAAAACTGTTGGTACTTTAAAAATACAGAGCAACTGTAAAAAAAGGTTTACAACATTTACACAAAATTTGCTATGCTTGTATACTGCTGACTGCCATGTGAGATCGTATATTTTTAAAATATGCCCAAATTTGGGGAGAAAGGTAATATATAAAATTTTAGCACCAATTTCTTCATTTTTAATTCCTTCAGGATCATAGCTGGATAATTTATTAGAAATCTCATTTGTTTTAAAATGCACTATGGGCAGTTATATTTTATGCATAATCCATAAAATATTATTTTTAATTTAAAAAATTTTAATTCATATCTCTTTTTATAGAAGAAGTTATAAAAATAAGCTCTTTCTCTTTATATATATACAATTTTAGTATATGTACTGCTGAACACACACATTAGGTAAAGAAAATGGAAATATTTAATTAATTAATTCCTGCACTTCTGCTGGAGAGGACTGAATTAAAGCCAATTATTATAGTAATTTTTTGTTAAAAAATGTTTAGGGCTTAATACTGTCTCACGTTAATTGGTAATGAAAGTTTAGAGCTGTAAACATCCAAAAGTCTGAGCACATGTATGTACATTCACATAAAAGTGAAACGAATATATATATATATATATATATGTACAGGATATGCTTTAAATTCATATTATATAATTTTCAAAATTTTTTGTGGGGAAAATTTAAATAAGAGCATAAATGAAACATTATGCTTAATGCATATAATAATAGAAATAAATTGTAAAACACGAATATAGATCAAATTGGAACAAGAAGCTAAGAAAGTTGCAGACAGGGTGTAAAAAGCGTATGGGATTCGAACTCTTGACCCCAAAAGTTAAACCTTGTTACCGTTCAGCTTTACCACTAAGAATCAACGGGACATCAGACAGGAATGGTATGCATATTTTGGCTTATATACATCATCAAATAAATCAATTTTTAAAACAAAATTTTTTGGTCCTATTTCAGTGTGGTATCGTCTAAAAAATTCAGCAGAGTTTGTTTTTCAGGCTTCTAGTACATTTCTTACAAAAAAACATTATCTTTTAAAGTGGCATTCCGATTGAAGTTAAACGGGCTGCTAAAAATATATTCCATGTACTTACAAATATATGTTAGCCAAAAAGGTATATTTATAAATAGAGAAATACAAAATTTAACATACTCTTTAATGCAGTGGAATATTTAAAAGACTATCAAATTTAATTTAAAATTAACGTTTTTAGTTTTTACATGTTTCAAAAGAAAAAATAACGACTCTTTTAATGCCATATGTGATTTGCTACAGCAGTTTGATATAGTCAGACGTTCAGTTTCATTAAAGGTAAATGTGTATCCAGAACTATTAAGTAATTGTCAGGACAAATTTTGCTATTTCATGGACTTGAAATTTTTTTTTTTGGTGCCTGATTTTCTCGAACTGAATATTTTGACTTCCTGATTTTCTATGCGAACTTCTACTGTAGTTGCAGTTATCTTATTTTTCTTATCTTTTTTTTAACTAAATTCAGCTGAGTGCTGTCTTTTTCAGTATGCAGATTTGTCTCTATAATGTTAATTCAGAAATAAGTATTTTTTAGCAAAACATTCTTTCCTTAAGCCAGTGTTCATCGCTACTTCTGCCGCCATTAATTTTTGGTGACAACACTTGATTGCTCCCTTTTTACCACGTGACCCTAATGCATCTGCAGACATACGGATAAGAAGTTGAACATTGTTGAACTCCATCCATATGTCATCCGTCACTGCACATCGACCGACTTGCAGATGTCAATCAAAGTGAATTCACTCGCTGATTGGAGAAACGCATAGACACCACAATGCATACGCAGCAGTGGGAAACGGGTCTTTAGACTTTTAAATTCTCAATAATTCTATGTTTATTACTTGCAGATTAACTCTTCATTACATTCTTCAGCACTTTGCAAGATATCAAAGTGAATAAATTCTAAATCTTGGGCATTATTTTGTTCATGTTTGTCAGAGACAGGCATGTTTCTGAATATTAACTACCGTAATTTCCGGAAGAAAGGTCGCATCAGCGTAAACGCCGCACTTGAGAAAAATGGCGGGAAAAAAATTAAAATTACACAGAAACGCCACATCAGCGTAAACGCCGCAATAGATTAAATTGCGCGTGACATCGTCGTGGGCCGTATAGATGCAAAAACTCAACCTAAGTCCTGATATATGACATACCAGTTAAGAAAAATGCATGAAATGAAACCATAACTCAAAAATAAATTAAAGGTAAGAAATGTATAGCTTCTGTGCCGTTTAGAGACATTTTCAAAAATTTTCCGCTTCCTAATTAAAAACTATCCAACAAGTACTTGTACCCTAACTGATGGGAACTGTATTTGGCAGAATGCCAAGAAAAATCCATCATCATGCTGAAGGGGAAATATCGTCAGAGTTCGTTATTGCGAGGCAGGTGGAGTCGTGTCCGCCTTTGAAAAAAATTGCAGAAAAGGCAGGGGTGGAAAGAGGATGGGTCCTGGAAGATTCATCGAATGGCAGAGGAGAGAGACTATTCAAACTGATGAGAATGTTGATTTGAAAGGGGGAAGAATGTTATTGTTCTGAGATCTGGTTTAGGGTGAATAAAGCATGTAGGTCCGTTCAAGGGAAAGAACGTAAACAAAATAACGTTCGCAAAAAGCAACTGAGTGGTCTTTTGTGTGGGAACAGCACCAATCTATGCACAATGACAATGCCATCCAAACTATGTACAATGACCATCATAGGAAATATTTTATTTTTAGTGCACCTAAACGTCGCATGTGTAGAAACGCCGCACCCGCTGAAAATTTAAGTTTTAAACACGTAAACGCCGTGGCGTTTCTTCCGGAAATTACGGTATTATTTTCCTTTTACCTGCATATATCCCGTATCCTTTGCTTTGTAAATCTTACCCTATGAATATTCCTTTTTTGGCTTTGTTGTCTAATTTTCGCCTCTTTTGTTTGTTCATAGAATAACATGCTTTGCAGCCAAATATTCATAAATGACTTAAATTATGTTTTCTACCATTCCATAATACGGTGATGAATTTTTATTCAAGAATTCATACAGCATTTTATTCATGACTTTAGTTTTTTTTTTTTTTTTTTTAGTTGGTAACCTATTTTGAAGATATGCAGCAGTAGCTGCTGCTGCAGCCCAGAAACGTTTTGGTAATTTTGAATTTCACAACATAGCATTTGTCATTTCTATTAAAGAATATTTTTTCCTTTCTGCGATGCCATTCTGCGCTGGGAGTAAGGAACCAATACTTGGTGAAAAATACCAAGTTTAAGTAATTTTCAATAGTTTCATTGCATTATTCCATACCATTGTCAGATCCGAGAACTTTTATTTTCTTTCTAATTTTGTTTTCGATGCAATATGTTGTTTATCTAATACTTTACTTTTTGAAGTAATAAAATAAATTTGAGTACAATGTGAATAGTCATCAATGAAAGTTAGAAAATATCTTTTCCCTCCTATACTATTAACTTCCAT